ATGTAGTAACCTGAATAAATCTCTAGAGAAATGTGCTGATTGGAAAACTCCAAAGGTTACATACTGTGATGCTTACTATTGATCGTCAACTTGATTGACTTCAGAGGGTTCTAGAGAACTAGTAAGGCGAATTTCTGGATGTGTCTATGTAGTTCATAGAGGTGTGATTTGGGTACTATAATGGTTTCTTGCTCCTTTTTCCCTGGTGTTTTTTCCTTGTGCTCTGCTTCCTTTAGACTATGACGTAAGGAGCTTTCCTTTATCATGCCCATCTACCATGATATTTTTACCTTAGAGCCAGCTGACCATGGACTGAAACCACTGTAACTAAGAGCCAACATAAACTTCTCCTCTTTTAACTGGAAAGTACAGAGTATTTTGTCCCACTGAGTGGAAAGCTAATACACATACTTCAGATTTCTATCAATTTGACATTATTAAAATCAGAATACAATAAACATAAAAAACAGATTAATGAATACCAAGGTTTAAGAATGGTGGTAGAGTGGAATGGATGTATGAAAGATGGGATGAAAAATCCTTGTGGTGATGGAAATATTTTGTATCTTGACGTTGTTAAAGTCAATATCCTTGCTCAGGCATAGTACTAAAGTTTTGCAAGATGTTACCACAGCAAGAAACTGACTAAAGTGCTCCTATAAATTGTGCTACTATAAACATGGGTATGCATATATCCCTACAACACAATGATATTAATTCTTTGGGGAAGAAACCTACAGGGGGACTGGTTGGGCTAAATGGAATTTCTATTTTTAGTTTTTTGAGGAATCACCTCACTGATTTCCATAGTGGTTGTACTAGTGTGTTATTATATGTTTGTATCTTTTTCCTAAGAATCTTTTGTACCCTGAGTAACTGTATTGAATACTTCAAAGAATCAACAATGGGATCTCATCTTACTGAAATTTTTTGCACATCTAATGCAGACTGGTGAAACTACTGTGGAAATCAGTTTGGAGATTCCTCAGCAAACTATGTCTAGAGGTCCCATTCAACTCAGCTATTCCCCTTCTGGGCATATTCCCAGAAGATTTTATATTTTTTTCTTCTTCTTTTTTTGGTACCAAGAATTGAACTCAGGACTTTGTGCTTGCTAGGCAGGTGCTTATTCCACTGAGCTATATCCCCATCCTTCCCAGAAGATTTGAAAACATATTACAGGGATATATGTGCACCCATGCTTATAGCAGCACAATTTGTAATAGCTAAATCACAGAAGCAACCCAAATGTTCATCCACTGAGTAATGGATAAAAAAAATTATAGTATTTTTATAATGGAGTATTACTCAGCTATAAAGAAAGATAAACTCAAGGCTTTTATATGTAAATGGTCACAACTAGAGACCATACTCATAAGTGAAATAAATCAGACCTGCATGTATAAGCAACATATTGTCTCACTAGTGTAAGAACCTGAAAGAGTGAATAAAAATTAGGAGGTATTATAGACATTGTGAAATGAGAATAACTATTTTGAACATAAAAACAAAGACTATATTAACTTCTGTTGTTCTCTTATTATTTTGTGAGGAAATTTTGTGTTTTTTTAATAAAATAACAGAAAATAATTCAAAAAAGAAACCGGCTAGAGTACACAAGATCTCTATTTTTTTATTGAAAGTGTATATAAGTAAATCCATAATTATCTCAAAATAAAAGTTTAATTTAAGAAACACTATTATTGATCTATAATTTAAATGTAGTGAAGTGCTCACGTCAGTGAACTCAATTAATTTTAAAATATATTTTATTTATTTTCAGCATTTCATTTAGTTCAGTCAGTTTTGACTACTGCATGAGCACATGTGCTCAGACCTCTATCAAGAAAAGAAAAAAGTCTATTGTTTAAGTTTCCTTTCATTTTTTGCTATCAACCCTCCCCTGAAAGAATAACTACTTCAGAATTTTGTTTTCATACTTTAGCTTTGCTAAAAGGTTTGTTCATTTTGTACAAAATTTCTTTATCCAGTGGGATGCTTTTGAGATTCATCTGCTTTTTTAGTACATAGTATTTATTTTATTCATTTTTAATGTTGGATAGTGTTCCACCATGTGAATGTAATGTAGTTTTGTCATGGTTTTTCCTCTTGATGACCATTCAGTATATGGGGCTTATAGTGGTCATATTTTTATTTATCTTTGGTAAATATTTTTGGGGGTTGCTAGGTTATAAGGTAAATACATATTTAATCTTTGAAGAACCTAGCAGTTTTTCAAAATCATTGAACAGTGTAGGAGAGTTCTGCTTGTTCCATATCCTTGCCAATTTTGTGTACGCCATTCTTTCTCCTTGACTTATTCTAATGGGTGTGACGGTATGTCTCTGTGTTCTTAAATCACAGTACTCTAATGACTAATGATGTTAGGCATGTTATTATGTGCTTGTTTGGCATTCATACATGGTCTTTAGAGGAGTAATGGTGCAAGTATTTGCCTATTTTTCATCTTTAACTTTTCAAATTATAAGTCTTTGTACATTCTGTATATTAATTTATTTTAAATTTTGCACGTGTAGTTGACTACTGAGAAAGATTGACTTTCTTGACTTACTGAGAAAGATTTTCTCAAGTGTATAGACTAAAGTAATGAGGCTCATGCATGGCTTGAAACATCCATGTTTCTATGACTTATAAAGGCTCATTGTAGTTGAAGAGCTGTTTTTCTACCTCCTGAAAAATAAAACAATGATACTACTGACTGAGTTTTTCACTTGGGTCTGTGCCTCACACACTTGCGTGTTTTTTGTTTGTGTTTTCCATCTCTAGATCTTCATCCTTGGCTTGTCTGAACAAAGGGAAAGTACTCTGGAGGTTTGTTTTAAAAATTCTTGGTCTGCACACGACATGATTTCTCTTAGAAGTTTTTCTTTGTTCATGGGAAAATAAGACTTGTAATGTCTCATTGAAAAAGTCTTTTTTTAAAAAAATCCTTGTCATAAAATGGTGAAACTTTCGCAAAGAATGGAGTCAGTTACGGGGATCACATTCAAAGCTTCTTGGAACACCTGAGAGGTGGAAACAGAGAAATGTGCTTGTTAGCATATTACTCTCTTTACTAATGAGTATTGCTCCATCTTAAGTCAGCAGCTATCCTTGGCCAAAGGGGAGAAAAGGTAACTGATAAATTCTTCCCCTATTTTTTTCTCTTTGTGGACAGCTCTGAGATATATTTTATCAGGTTTCTAATAAGTCCAAGCAATCAGGTACCAGTGGTCAACTTAATAACAAGAATTGTAGTAGCTTTCCCTCCTTTTCTGTTTTACTTTTCTTTTTCTCTCATGTTGATCCTCTTTCATCACTTCCCAAATAAGCTACGTCCACAAGAGGCTTTGTTTTTGGCATTGCTTTCAAGGAATTCAGGTTATGAGCCTAGTGCCGAAGGAGCGAAAGAGAGGGCAAAGATATACATAGACAGTTGTGTTAATGGGCATCCTCCCACTTGGAAGGAAACATGAGAAGTGTGAACTTCCTTCTTAATAGGGAAATAACAGAAAAAGAAATCTAGATGAAGGACATAAAACTACTTTCTCTACTAAGTCTAATGCTTAAACAGTAAGAAAGTTAAGAAATTCATTTTTTTTTTTTCTTATGGGTTCTCTAGAGATCTAAAAACAAAATCAAGAAGTACAGGATAAGCCGTTACAGTGGATATATGTCTTCCAAATCATGAAGCCTAACTCTTATTAGAAAAATCACGCTCTGAATAGAAAGAGAGTGTGAGATAGGAACCCCTTTTAGTTCTGTGTGTTGCTTGTGTACAATTATTTTTATGAGAACCTTGGACCCAATAAGCATTAGGATCATAATTTTAAGATGCAAAAGATTTATACAATCTGAAAAGAAAGCACAGTATAGGACTATAATTTTAGATTTAAGCTTTCTGGTTTCCTGTCTTGCAGTGCAGTTTAACTTTGACTGATAGAAGAATATGGCATGCTGAGAATGGAGAGAAAATCACAGCTACGAGGGACTTTCTCTTATAGGTCAATACAGTGCAGGCTGCCTTCAGTGTTTATGCCTTGCTGAGGCATCATACTGAGAAGAGGGGGTGTGATTCAGGGATAGGACTGACCTTTGAGAAGCTGGACTTTTCTCCAAATGAGACAGAAAAGTAGGGCATGTCTAAAACAGACTGGGACAAGACTGTAGGACACATTCACAGAATAGTTCCCAAAGCCCTGAACATGGACTTCTCCTGAGAATGAGCAGGTTTTTGGTAGGACCTGATGTCAGCCTGAGGAGTGGGTTCTATAAAAGGACAGTCCACTCTGACTTTTTGCTACTGTTCTCTCTTCCACGGTGTCTCCCCCTCACACTGTAGGGTGTACCTCTTTTCTTACTTTTATTTGGCCCAAACTCACTCTGTTTCTTTTCCTACCTTTAATAAATTGTTGATACCTTTTGCACATGTCTTGATCAATTCTTTGCTCAGGACGGAAAAAAACCTGGAAACCACCTCCAGAAGGAGATTCTGGTACCCCCAAAACCCAGTAACAGAAATACGAGTTCAGGCTATTGCACACCCCAAACATTTTCTATCTCTAGGTCTAATCCTTTCTTCTATTCTTGTTTTTCTTTCCCACTTCTGAATACTGTGTCTCAGGTGTGACACTCACTGTACATAGTGGTGACTTGTTGCTCCTACCAAGCTTTTAAACTGAAACCACAGAATAAGTGCTGCTTGAGCACACTCATATTCTTTTTATGGGACAGGATTGACCAGCCATCAGACTGCTGAAGTTCTACATAAAAACCATGCGCAAGGGCCCTGAAGATCTTGGGATAAATATGCCTCAGGCCAGGAAGTATTTGTCACAACGGAAATCTTTCTTGTTGAGTAGCTTTGTGTCATTGGCAGTGCCTGGAATTCTGAACATGGCAGCGTCAACATGATCTGTTGACGTTACTCTAGAAAGACAGCTTGTCTTTCTTGAATAAAGGCTAAGCTTGCTCATGTTTTCTCAGGAGTAGTAGAAGGAGGTTAAGAACTAGGTGCTTCTCCAGAAGCTGCTGGCCATCCTGAGATTCTCTCAAACTCTGAAGGCCTTTAGAAGGACTTCCTCTTTAGGGCTGGACTTTCTACCCAGCAGGTCAGGAGCTGAATCACTGAGGACACAGATGGAAAAGGGAGGGGCAAAAAAGTGAAGGGTTGTATTTCCTTTGAGGGACACAGCTCCAGTCTAACCTGCCAAGCTGTCCACATCACCACCAGGAAACAGCAAAGGTAAAGAGAAACATTTCTATACTGCATATTACCTGAACTTGTTGACAAAGGGGAGCAAATAAGAGTAAAATGAAGCTTTGGGATAGCTGTGTAGTGAACTAAAGAAGAAGGAAGTTCACTATTTAATGAATGTGACTTTTGCTGGTCCTTGGAAGAATCCATTAACATGTTGAATGCCATTAATGAAGTGTGTTTTATAATCTTTGAGGTGGGCTCACTTGGTCTTAATTGTCTGATTGTGTAGCAAAGTGGAATGCTGTTATTTTCTACTTACCCACTGATAAATCTGATTCAAAACAGAGCTAGTCACACAGGTCTCTGTTATCTGTGTGATGAAGCACTTATCCTCTTAGAGGATCAATTAAATTGAACTGGCCTTATTAATAGCTTTGTGTTGGAAATTATTTATTGGTTTTGAATTTTTTCCTGTGGCTATAAAACTAGTCTCTTGATTAATATGTATTTTTGTGAACATAGATAGAAAGTGTCATGGTTTACACTTGTATAGTGAGGTGAATACTCTGAAATTTCTACTATTTCTAGATCTATCCTGGCTGTGTCAGGCTGTCAGAAGCTGGTGTCTTAGCTCTCTTGGAAACTTATCTCCCTTAGAAGAACTGACTTAGACCCGCTGTCCCCTTTCAGTCTTTTCCTGTCACTATCCCCTTCTGAGACACATTTTCCTCTTCATGTTTCCCAAGTGTTTTTTTTTTTTTTCCTCTCTTCTTATTTAAGGGAGGCTAAAGCTGGGATATCTTTCTTTTTCCCTTGCCATAGCAATCTGCAGATGACATATTAGATTTGCTTGACAGAGATTTTTCTTTCCCTAAAAGTTAGGCAGAAGGACTACTTGAAAATATTTTCTGCATCTCTTTCCCCTTTGGATTCAATTTGTAACACTTCTATTTCTAGTATATGTCTAGTTCTCCCTCACCACCTAAGTGGGACCTTTCTGGGAGGACTGTGCATCTTTGATAAGATTCTATCTACAGTGGGCGTCTGTCTTTTCTGGGCTCCTGTTCTCTTCCTTGGAACTTACTGAGACATATGAATTTGTCCAGAAGTTGTAAAATACTCAGACTGTCTATTTCTCCAGTTTGGATTGATTCTTGTGTCAATGTGGAAAATGTTGATAACTTCACAGGTACATTTTCTCTGTCCTCAAAGAGTGTACAGTCCAGGGGGCTGGGGATTTAGCTCAGCCGCAAAGCGCCTGCCTGGCAAGCGCAAGGTCATGAGTTCGGTTCCCGGTACCAGAGAAAAACCAAAAAAAAAAAAAAAAAAAAAAGAGTGTACAGTCCAGTGAGGAAGACAGCTGGTGCAATGAACCCAACTCTGCGTATTCATCCACACATTCCTTTGTACATGCAAAGACAATTCCCTGGGTGTAGATGGAATTTTCTAGGAAGGTTACTGGGCAAAATTGGTTGTGTATGAGATTAACTTTGGAGCTATGTTGGAAGGGTTTCACTAATACCCTAAAAGGTAAAATTCTGGAAAATGAAAGGAGATAGTAATCTTCAGTGCCTCATTTATAATAGTTAAAACACCATCTTGCCAATAAACCTGTCAAGCTCATGAGTCAATTTCACTTATATATTTCCAGTAACATTTTAGAAAAACCTGAATCTAAAGTACTGAATCTAAATACTTGTGTTATTAAATGAATTCCTGAAGAGCTTCAGGCACTAACTGCGAAGTGGGGCAAATAAATTGAACTCCTTCACCAATAACTGTTAAATTAGGCCTGTTAATATTCTATGGCTTGGCCAAAATTTTTAATGCTTTTGGTAAATCGTTATCCCTTATAAGTAGGGATGATAAGGACAGTGCAATAAAATAAAATCATTCAATCTCAAATAACAGCTTCTCTGAAAATCATATGGAAGCAAGCGAGAGGAGCATAGGGTTTGGAAGAAATGAACTCCTGTTCAAATTCTAACTCTTCCACCTATAGTGTGTGACCACCCAAGGCCTTAATCCTCCTCAGGAGAGCTGCAGAAACAGGGCCCATCATGCAAGATGCAAGACTCAGAATAGTGCACATTCAGTATGTGGGACAAACATGAACCCTGTGATTCAGTCACTTCCTTTACAAAGGAATTCTCAGATAGCTGTGTAAGTAGGTATGCATGAGGCTCTTCATCACATCACTTCTTGTGATATTGCAAATCTGGTGGTCATTTGGGCATCTACTCCTGGGGAATGGAAAGACAAAAATGTAGTGGAGGCACCACAATGCATGTTTCCAGAGTAACATGAATGAATCTTGAAAAGTATCACACTAGTGAAAAATAAGCTGTTTAATAGAAGTGCCTTTATGAAAATTAAAAATCCATAACAAAATTAATATGTAACATGCATACATATAAAAAGGATATGCATTAAATAAATTAAAAGCGTTGTTTATGGAGGTGGAGAGAAAGGAGAATGCATTTGGTCCAAGGCAATAAGCAAAGGAGAGAATGACCTTTGTAGCCCTAAAAACTTGTGCCAAACACTGAGGAGTGTGGTTACTTCACCTTCTATAGTTAGGGTTCTCAAAGGAGAAGCAAGCAGTTTGATAAAAGTGGTGCCCATAGTGTTCTGGCAGTGTAGTCTAAAGTCTTTTCTTAACTGCCTCTTAACTATTGGGCTTCAAGAATTATATGTGAGAAGTCAATTTTATAGTAACGATGTGACATAAATTTAAGAAAAATGTATTTGCATTTACTTATGAATCTAAATCTGAAATAATACTCCAGAAACTGCCTCTGCTAGCTAACTTCATGTATTAGTATGCAAAATAACGTATGAAGAAAATTTGGCTTAGACATGCTTCATAACTGGGTGAAATTTCATTATTAAACCATGTAATAAAGGATCCTGTTTTAGTACATATGTCATAGAGAAATTCATTAAAATTAACTCAAAAGACAGCATCTTAATGAAGGTAGAGGGCTGTATTTTAGTTTAAATAAGATTATCAAACCCTTCCTTTATATATTAAAGCAATGGAAAGCAAAGAAAAATATACTCCAGTCTTGCTTTAGTTTAACTGCTCAGTGGTTTAAAAACTGGAATGACCAACTGGAACATTAGTGATAATTTTAGGGTAACCAGTTACAAGAATGTGTTAGTACCATTTTTATTCATATAAATACCACAAGTGACATATCTCATTTTGGTCCTTCTCTGCTTGACTGTGGGTGGGCCACATGCTCTCCTCCTTGCCCCAGGTCTCAGGGCTGTTCTTACTTGGCTCTGTTTGACAATCAGGAGACAAAGCACTATAGTTTGGTGAGAAGCATGCCACAGATGCCTGAATCTATAACAAACAGAGTCACACCCTACAGAACACACTTCAGCTCAGACATGCACAGGCTGAAGACTAGTTAATAATCAAAAGAAGTCTATACAGATGAGGATGAATATCAGACAACTGTCATAATGTGCAAGGGAATATAGGCCTCGACTAGGATGACAAAAGAGGGCAAAACTGTAATCTAAAAGATCAGAGAGCTGGCATGGTGGTGCACGCCTGTAATCCCAGTACTCGGCAGGCTGAAGCAGGAGGATCATTGTGAGTCCGAGGCCAGCCTGGGCTACAAAGTGAGCTCAAGGCCAGCCTGAACTGTAGAGTGAAACCCTATCTCAGAAAGACCAAAAAAAAAAAAAAAAAAAATCAGAGGTAAAAGAATGAAATATTTTCAGATCCCTGAAGACTAAATAAGAGAAAATATGTAAATCCTCTAGAAAAATGTTATTGTAGGAAAGTGGGCTAACGGGCCTTAGTGGACGATGATACAGAGAGAAATTCCTAAAGTAAGTTAGGATGTTTTTAGCTATAGTCAGATAAACCACAACTGAAATAGCTTATTTCAATAATAAGGAAAATCTTCCATCTGACATAAGAAATTCCAAAGTAGGGTAGATCCAGGGTTGTTAATCCATGTGTCATCAAGGACTGAAGTTTTCCCCATCTTTCTCTCTGACATCCTCCTTGTTGCTCCTTGGCTGGCTACTTCATGATCATAAAATAGTGCTGCAATAATAATTACACATAGATGACACAGCTTTGACAGGAAAAAAGAAGGCTGATTCCCTTCTGTGGGTCTCTTCTTACCAGCAGGAACTCTTTTCCAGAAGCCCTCTGTCAACTTTTCTTGCTATCTTACTGGTAAGGATTATGGCACCTGTTAAGTCCAAAGCCATTCACTGACATGGCATAAAGAACTATCTCATTTCATTTAGGACATAAACAAGGCTTATTCAGGAGACTGGAGGGGGTTGGAGGCTTCCTTGAACTATATGATGGCATGAAATCTGCATTAAAGCAGATTCTCTTAGCACGGAAGAAGGAAATGAAAGGAAAGGGATGAATGGTATTCAATCAAGTGTTTTATTTTTTAAAAATACTCTCTGGGGAGGATTTGAAGGTACCTAAAAGGAGAAAAGACATGTCCAACAAATTGATTATGGGAGAGAATTTCAGGGGTGGCCTACACAACAATCTGGGAGTAGGAGGGAGGGAGATCACTAAGAAGCGAATCACACAAAATCAGGTTAGGTGTTTAGGGAAGATAAGGAAGAGGGGAAGGGAAGACGAGGAGGTAGATGAGGAGGAAAGGAGAGAAAGGGAGAGAGGAGAGAGAATTGAGAGAGACAACAAGTGAGGGAAGGAGAGAGAGAGAGAGAGAGAATCATGCAGACAGTACAAACATGGGCTTCCAGCTCTGCTCCACAATCAGCTGTGTGGTATAGGCTTTCCCTCCATGGGGTGTGCAATGCTGCTCTCCTACAGCCATCCTGACCAATGCTTTGGCTTCCTGTTTCATATTTTTGCAATATAAATTTTCTCTTTCACGTGTTTAAGTCTTTGCTCTTGCTAGTCCTTCTGTCGGGAATGCTTACTCTCTGTGTATGCCTGGATGACTCTTATTATATAAAAAACAGCAGGAACCTCACCTCCTTCAGGAAGTCTACCTGTACCTTCTGGTTACCTCATGACCCTCTTCTGTGCTTCTATATTATTTTTCTTACACTTGCATGTCGTACCTGTCAGAGGGAAATGTCTTCCTTCATTTCCTTCATAGATGTTTATTGGTTAGCTACTTTGTGGCCAGGGCTGGTTGAAGTGCTGGGATAAAACATAAAAACAAAACAAAATCTTTATTGTAGCTGGTACTGTAGAAGGAGGAGAATATATCAGAAAACACATACATGTACAGTAAGTCAGGCAGTGGTATGTGCTAAGAAGAAAAATAAACTAAGGGCTGATTTTTCAAATGGAATGGCCAAGAAGTCTTACCATGGAGATGCTATCTGAACAGAGAGATGAATGAGTTGCTGGAGGGAGCCGGTTGAATATCTTGGAAAGGTAATCCTGTAAGGATACGAAGACCAAAGGGCCTGAGGTGGACATGCTTGTCATGCTGAAGAAATGGAAGGAGTGACATACTAAAAGATCAGGAGCTGTTGGGAGAGTGGGAGAAGACGAGGTCTGAGAAGGAGCTGGGGCCAGATCAGGAAACCTTGGTTTTTCCATCTCTGAGAGATGAGAAGCCACTGGAGTCATCAGTAGAGAAGAGCATGACAATTGGCCTTTAAAAAACATCACCATGCTGGTGGGTAAAGACTGAAGTTGGCGATGAGTAAGTAGACTGTCTTAAAGTTCCAGGGGAGGAAGAATGGTACCTTTGGCCAAGTGGTAGCCTGGAGATCCTGAGAAAGGGGAACACAGTGATTGTTTCTTAAGTTGGAGAAAACAGAATATTTTCACTGGTTACATGTGAGGAGAATGAGAAAGTAGTTAAGCATGGTCCTAAAACTTTAGCCTGAAACATGGAAAGCTGAAATTGTCATCTGCACAGGTGAAGAAGAATGTGGTGGAGGTAAAGAGGGGAAGGGAAAGCAAGAGTTTATTATTTGACATGTTAAGTTTGAGGCATCTACTAGACATCCATGGACATGTCAGTAGGCCGCTAATGTAGGAGCTTGGCACTCAGGGTCATCTACTGTAAATGCACCAGTGAACAGCTTTCCTGGGACATTTAAGACATAATATTTGATGAGATCACAGGGTCTGTGAACTAAAATGAATAACAGGCCAAGATTTGAATTCTGAGGTATTATAATACACAGTGGTTGAAAATGGAGACAAATCCTGCAAAAGAGACTGAGACAGGGTTACCACAGAGGTCCATGTGAACCCAGAATGTTCTCCTGGGAGTCAAAAAGAGAAAGTGTTAATGGCAGTGAGGCTCCTCAAGAATGAAGTCTCGGCAGTACAGGAACTGTTCTTGATCATTTTTGTATCAACATCCTAAATTAGAGGTGCTCAGTAAATATTGTAGGACAAGTAGAATAAACACTTCCTTCTCAATATGCCCTTATCCTAAGATAAAATATATTCCAGCATAATGGTGTCTTCTCTGAGATTTTTCTCATCTGTTCCTCAATCTTCACTGACATCATGGTGCAAACCTGGGTTGAGGGCTCTGATCACTGCCCAGTGACATGACTACTAGGGTTTTAGACCCAGAATATCTTCTCAAATCCTCATGCATGTAGAGGCAGAGCTTTGGGAAGGTGATTGGCTCACCAGGGCATTATCATTATCCATGGATTCATCCACTGGGGAGTTCACCCACTTTGTGAGGAGGTAGAGGCTGCTCAGAGAAGACAGGTCACTTGGGGCATAACCTGGAAGAATCTATTGCCCCACCCAGCTTCTCCCTTCTCTCTCTACTTCCTGGATGCCGTGATGTGAGCAGCTTTCTTCTAAGGTATTCCCTCCCACCACGCCCTTGCTGTGCTGGATCCTGCTGAACAATACCTGAAACTTCTGAAATTATGACCCCAAGTAAACCTTCCCTCCTTTAAATTGTGGATGTTGGGTATTGTGACTTAGAGATAAAGGGACTAAAATAGTGACCTACTTTTTAACATTGCCTTACTTCCTTGCAGAAGAACAGGGAATGAAGACTCATTAAGAAGATCAGAGAATTTTGCCCACATCTATTTCACTATGAATGTGTTTGTGGGAAAGTGACCAAGATGAAGGTGTTCTCTTCTTGGGAGACAGTGGAGGACAGCCAGTCTAGTGGCAAACTGTCTTATTTGTCTCAATTTGTGTAGCTCAAGAATTTTTCCACACAAATTCCAAAATGAGAAATGTTTTAAAGCATGGAAATTAAGTATACAAAAATCCAATTACTTCAGCTTTGTTTTGCTCCAAAATAATTACAGATAATTCTTAAATTTACAAAAGTGATAGTGAGATATCTTTCAACTTTTGGTTAAACGAATGGTAAACGTTCCATTCATTAGAATTCAAAACAATGATGGATTCCTCCCTCCAGAATTTACTAATTGCTTAGAAACTGTGATAAGGGCATGCAATTTTTCACGAAGCAGTGTGCTTAGACATTTGAACTTGTGAAATGTAATAACTGAACTTCATATTATCAGGTGATGCTCTGAGATTTTCTCCCTTTCTGTTCTTAGGCAATGATTGGCATAAAAATGCACTCCCTCAGCACAGCAAATGTTGAATTTTGCCTTGATGTGTTCAAGCAGCTGAATAGTAATAATGCAGGAGATAACATCTTCTTTTCTCCACTGAGTCTGCTTTATGCTCTAAATATGATCCTCCTTGGTGCCAGAGGATACACTGGAAGACAAATAGAAAAGGTAAGGAATGCAAGAAAAATTACTGTGGAGCCTGTATTTCTTCCACATATGTCCTCTGATCTGCTAAATTATAGCCATCTTCATAAATGAAAACTATCATCACATAAAATAAAAATATATTTAGGCAAATGACATTCTTTAAAAAGAGAAAATAGTTTAAATAAAACAATAAATTTTAATGCAAAAAATACAATATATGCAATGAAGTTTCTTCCTGTCAGGAGTATCACAAATAAATCTCTGCAGAAAATGTGTAGAATTCTTCCTTCAAGTGTTTTAAGAGTGCTGCAGATCACATGTATGGTAAAGTTCTTGTCCTCTAGAGGTTTAAGCTTAGTAATGAAACTTAATGATGTTTTAGAAATTACCAAATAGTAAAAAATATGCATCATATTTCTTTTTATTATTGTTATTTTATTTTAAAGATAAAAGAAAGAAAACATATTAACAGATATACAGACATTTACAAAGTAACACAAAAACTATACAAGTGATACATATATCATTATATTTCTTCATAACAACTCTGTGTAGCAAGCAGGGACTGCGATTATTCCCTTTTTCAGGTTAGGTATACTAACATTGGTCTTAATAATACCTATGTGTTGTAAATGTTGCTGTAGAGTATCTAGTAGAGCATCACTTACTAATTCTTAAAACATTTGGTTTATTATTTGGGAAAACATGGAATGGTTTACCTGGAGCCAGGGTGGGCACTGTCTTAGTTAATAGCTTAGGAAGAGTAGGAGAGGAGCAGAAGATCTTCGTGCCTAAAGAGCTTGGTCTCTTGAGCCTGACAGACAGTGGTCTGGGCAAGGTATTTATTTCATCATTTATAACTCAGTTTTCTTAAAATAAAATGAGGATAAAAGTATCTAATCATATGGTTGTTGAGAAGATTAATTAGGGTAGATAAAAGTAATTTATGACTTGCAATATAACATTATTAACTATCTTTATGGTTTTGAACTGAAATGTAAAATGTAAATACTTACAATTCTTAACTTTATGGAATGTACATTATTTTTATGCTAATCCATACCTTTTCCCTTTTCTAGGTGCTTCACTACCAACACACTACAGAATTTTTTAAATCAGAGTTTGAGGACTCATCTGAGGTATGATAATATCGTGGCTGACAGTCGAATGCTTTTTAACATAAGAACATCAGGAAATGATTGTCTGGGAATAGAGTAAAAGTTCCTTCTTTGTCCCATAAGGGAGCTACCTCTGTCTCCTTTAATCTTTATAACCAGTAGAGCTTATAGAATTTAACACAATGATGATGATAATAGCAACAATAAAATCCCTCTGATATTATTAACTGATTTATTCTGACTCATGTTTTTCTGTTCTATGTCTCTTGTTGAGTCTCCCAGCCTCATCTATGCAGTGTTAGAGGTTTTCAGTCTATTTAGGGGACTGAGAAAGGACTGTGAATGATGCTTGACCATATAATAATGTAGTGGACTTGACACTCCTCCGCTCACATGCTCTGTGACAATGGTATCTGGTTCTTTCCAGGCAGAACATTCATTTTGACGTCAAAGTTGCATAGAATTTCCATATGAAAATAGTTGTTTGACAGTGCTTGAGAATAGACATAAATATATACAGGTTCATGCAAACCTTGCTTCACAAAACCCTGCCTATTATTAGGGGACTAAAGTTTATAGTTTGGGAATCACTACTTTAGGGAATATAGCCACAGCCCCTAAGATGTCCATGAAATTTTGACTACCTTTCAGATGCATCGTGACTGCAGATGTAGTATGATTATTACTACTAAGGGAAAAATGAATATGTCAGTCCTGTTTAGAGAAAGGCTGGAGTATTTGATTAAGTAGCCATGTTGAAAACTGAGACATCAAAAAGAGTACAGTAGAATTTATCTTACAAGAGATTCTCTTACAGAGAATTTATCTTGCAAGTATAAAGACACAACAAAACTTAGATAATTGCCCTAGATACTGCATTAAGATCTCTTTATTCAAGTGAAAATGTCACCTTTTGAATTAAATGATTAGAGCCAACAAGTGCATATGATTTTTCCCACAATCTACAACCAAAGTCACAGGGTGGTGACATTGCTATACTAAAAAATATCTAGAGAACTCCTGTATTCACTGCCATTTTAATCAAAGGCACACACCATGTGCTCTAGATATTGTTTTCACATTATTTATGACTCTCCAGTGGCAAGAAGTCAAGCAATCTGATATATCATTTTGTGTTTACTGATGTCAGTGCAGCCAAGCTGGGAGAATACATTCAGAATTCGGAGCCCTTCTCTCTCAGATCAACCAACCAGATTCTAACTACACCCTCAGCATTGCCAACAGACTCTATGGGGCGAAGACGATGGCATTCCATCAGGTAAGCACCTCTGGAACCCCTAAATTTCACACTGTAAAATCAGTGAAGATTGAGAAGTGTCTCATGGCGTTTGTCCCTAAGAGACTGATCTTGAATTGACTAAAGAGTTTCAGAGAATAGTTTTACCAGAATTTTAGAATTGTGAAATGTCATAAAAATTTCTTACTATTACAAAATCCCTAAAGGCCAAAGATGAAGCACAAAACAAAGTAGATAAGAATTATCCCTCCTGGGCAGGAACAACAATTAAATATATCTTTTTCTAGCTTCAAAAGACCCGATGGCAGGCTATCAAGAGACAGTTGAAAGAACATGGAATCAGGAGCTAAGAGATCTGTGTTTTGGCAAACTGCCCTGATACTGTAGACTTTTCAGGCACACTTTTTTCTACTGTGCTAGAAACATATAGGACATGTTTCACAGAGATTTCCTATAAAGTGATAGGGATTAGTGATCATGGTCCTTTGACTTTAAATACTTTTTCTTACCTTTTTGCCTCCCCTAAACAGTGACACAGACATAATACTAAATAAGGGTTAATTTGAATGATAATGATTGCAGTAGTTCCTAGAATGAGGAGCTCCTCATTACCATCGTGAAGATTATTGTGAACTGTGTTATGAGATTAACTTTATTACATCAGGATTTTGCCTGGAAAAACTACCATCTCATGAGGTATTAGGAATCGCTAAAGAATTGTTGCAGTCCCAGTTGTACACAGCTGAGGACAAAAATCATCCTGATTCAAGAGTATGGTCTCAAGGTATACCCATTTACCTAGAAATGATACTCTTAAGTGAAATAGATTAGAAACACATATTTAAATACCACATTGTTTCTCTCGTGTGAGAAACAAAAAGGGAAAGTAAGGACCAAAATATATACTAGATATTGGGAAATAGGAGTGAAATGTCCAAGTGGGAAGGGAACAAGGGAGGGGGAAGAGAGAGAAGAAAAAAGGGAAAAGAAAAGTAGATAATAGAAGGAGAAATGGTAGCACAGCTTTTGTAAGTAAGGAGGGGAAGAGGTGTTGAAGGGAGGAGAGGGGCTTGGGGAAAAAAGAAAGATCAAGATATATCATGTACAGGTAAAAATTCCGTATGATGAATGTGATCATTGTGTATATCTAAAATGTACCAAAAATTAATTTTAAAAAGTCATCTGATGCCATTTTGCTATTAGTTAAACTTTGCTTTTCTTCAACATTGTATTAAGACACAAAGGAATCAAGGGAGGCCACTGAAAAATCACACCACCGGCAGCCACTTCCACTCCTACCATATTTCTCAGTCTTGAATCGCATGTCCCCAACGTCTCAAGCGTGAAACTGTGGACGACTTCACTAGGGTCCATGAGGACTTGGGGTAGTGCCTTGCAAGTGAGGAAGTAGAAAATTCCTGGTTTTATGGATGAAGAACCACGAGCTGTAATCAGTGGTGGCTCCAGGACGCTGTGTACAAGGAGTTGGGAATGGAAATTTAGGAAACAGGGAGAGATAGAGTCTTTATACTGAGTTAATGTACTATTGTCACTTGGACGATATGCTATAGGTGAAAATAGTGAATATCTTAAAAATTTTTTGTTGCTACTGTATAATTTTTTAAAAGTCAATTGGGTACATCAGATATTATTGTTAATTTTATTTATGATGGCTTGTGGAGAAGTTGATACACTCAAATACACTATCTGGTTATCAGTTTGTTTGTTTTTTTTGTTTTTGTTTTTCTGGTACCAGGAATCAAAATCACTACCTCATACTTGCCAGGCAGGCGCTGTGCCGCTGAACTAAATCCCCAGCCTCTGGTTATCAGTTTTGTTGTTTATTTCTTTTTGTGTATAGGTGTGTATTTCTATTTTCTATAATGTGAGAGGAGTTACTTCTATTTCTTTGCTTTGAAGAGGAAAGAATAAGAACAGAATGGAAAGATACTCATTATACTGCAATTTGTCATTTTAGAACTGAAAAAAACAGTTAGACAGAAGTGACAACCAAACATACATGAATACTACTGGGCAGAAAGGGTTTCCAATGTTGTCAAATTTACTTATTTTTCTTAAAAACAAACTTACAGACTTTGCTTCTTTTCAAACTTGTATACATGAACTGCTTTTGTCTGTGTATTAGGATTTCAGAATACAGTGAGCTGTAAGATCTTTGTTTTCTTTGCATTATTTTTATATTGTGTCATCTTTTCTTTTGCAGCAATATTTAGCCTGTTCTGAGAAACTTTACCAAGCCAGACTACAAGTTGTTGATTTTGAACAGTCTACAGAAGAAACGAGGGAAACTATCAATGCTTGGGTGGAAAAGAAAACTAACGGTAAGGAAAGGCAAATGTGTGTCTGCAAGCTTAGTTTGCATTGTTCTGACAACTTCCTGAGTCAGCACTCTAACGGGGAAGCTGAGTAAAGTCCAGAACCTGAGAGAGACTAACAGTGAAGGAACTGGGGCTAATTTTTGAAATGTGACTTACAATCCTTTCTCCTAATCTATGATCAGTGACTCTGTGAGTGAAAATGAACACGACTTTTACTTGGTGGAAATGTTGTAAGTTCTTCCATTAAATTGAATTAAAACCAAATCTACCTGTCACAATTTAAAAGACCTTATATATTGTTAAATATCTTTTTTTAAATGGAGCTTTAAAATTTGATACAAAGATGTGCTCATTTCTTTGTTTAAAAGTAGTTAACGAAAAACTTAAAATATGCACAGTGAAGAGACTATATAATGGGCTTTTGCTTACCGTGACTCAAATGCAGAGATCACTCACAGCCTGCCCCACTGGTTTGTACTTGCCCTGTTCCCACCACCTCTTCCAGATTATCTTGAACCAAATCCCAGATATCTTCACTTACACACACACCCACTTGTTTCCCTCATAAATGTAAACCAGTTTAGTATGAACACTACAATATTGACAAAATTGAAAATAATTATTTCATATTGGAAGTATTTAAAGCATTTTCATATCTTTCCAGTTGCCTTTTGCTGTTTGAATCAGGACACAGACAACATTTATACATCGTAGTGTATCAAGCTGACCCTCAAATCTTGATATTTTCTTCAAAATTAATGCTGAAATATGCATATGTCCAGAAAAGTAAATTATTCCATCAAGCTATTTGATAAATTATCACCACTGATATCAGGAAAATAAAGCATTGATTCTTAAGAAGGGGCACTGAGAGGCCACACTCCCATCCCCTCCTGGAAACTCACACCCTTTCTTCCCAAGTGCTAAGACTTCTTTCATTTAAGTTCTCAACTTCACACATATAAGTTACACCTGTCTTAAAATTTCATTTTGCTGATTTAACTTTTTTAGGTCAATATTTTTTTCTGAGATTCATACAGTTACATGTTGCATGACTTGTTCATTTTTATCAATATATGTTTTGTTTTCTGAATTTCCCAGATCTGTTTACTTTAATGAACATTTGGGGTATTTTTAGTTTGGATCAATTATATATACTGTGACACATTGATGAGCATTGTGATACATGTCTTGGTATAAATGAGTATGTAATTCTGTTAGGTATATGCCTCAAAATGAAGTTGTTGTTTGTAAAGTATGTAGACATTCAATTATAGCTGATACAAAGATTTTTTATTAAGTGGCTGCCTCAATTTATTTGCCCAAACAATAGGTAAGAATTTCATTTGTTATTCATCCTTGCCAACACTTGTTATTATCAGTCTTATTAATTTTAGCCACTGTAATCATTTCTATTTGTGTTTCCCTTAGAAATTATATGGTTGAACACTTTTACATATGCCTCACGTCTTTTATGAAGTGCCTGTTAATCTTGTGTCCATCTGTAAAGATGGCCTGCCTGTTATTTTTCCCTTATAACATGTGAGAGATCTTTGCACATATTGAATTCATCTGTTGCAAGTAACTTCTACCACTGTCTTTTCCCTGTCTTGATACTGCCTCTGATGAATACAAGTTCCCAATTTCCAAGGAATAAAATTTATCAATATTTTTCTTTGTAATCTGTGTTCTTGTGTATTTTCAAAGAAATCTTTGCCTACTTCTAGTTGATAAAATATTTTCAAATATTACCTACTAGAAGCTTCATGATTTAACTACAGTTAAAATTTGTTTTTAAATCCATTTCATTCCCCCATGGCATCTAATTGACGTAACACTATTTGGTAAAGAGAGAATACTTTTACCATTATACTGCAGCATAAACTTTATCATAAACTAGATGACTATATATTTGTGACTTTGGTCTTGGGCTTTCTATTTTGTTCCATTTGTCTATTTGTGTATTACCACAACAATGCCACAATTATAGTAGCTTTATCAGAAGCTCTGATAGTTGAAGTAAAAGTCATTTCACATTGACCTTCTTTTTTAGGGTTACTTTGGTTATTCTCCATCTTTGCCTTTCTATTTCAAAATTAGTTTGTGTTGATTCATCTTTTATATCAATTAAATTTTGAATTTCAGGGCTGGGGATTTAGCTCAGTGGCACAGTGCCTGCCTGGCAAGTGCAAGGTTGTGAGTTTCATTCCTGGTACCGGAAAAAAACAAAAACAAAACAAAACAAAACAAAACAAAACAAAAACTATCTGAAACTTTGAATTTCACTGAATCTATGAGTTTAAAGAGAAAATATCTTTCTTCAACTTCTCATCCATAACTATGTCATTTACCTCTCTTCATTTAGGTCTTTTAAAATTTTCTTTCAGTACCAGTGATTGATTGATGGATTGGCTGACTGATTGACTGATTGATTTTTGGTGATAGTGGGGACTGAACCCAAGATCTCTGCACTCAGCTATATCCTAGCACTTTTCATTTTGAGGCAGTCTTGCTAAATCTCTCAGGTACCCAAGCTAACTTCAAACTTCTGATCCTCCTGCATCAGCCTCCCAGAGTGCTGGGATTATAGGTGTGGACCACTGTACCCGTCTCTTTTAATGACATTGTACATTTCCCTATGCTAAAGTTTTGCATCTCTTGATAATTTGTTTCTAGGTATGTGAGGTGTTTCTTGAATTTTATCTAGTATCTATAATCTCATCTGTAAAGCCCCATTTTATAACATCGTCAATACTCTTGCACAGTTACTTCACCCTAAAATACACATGGTCTCAAAATAAAATATAGCAAAACAATCAATAGTAGTATCTTAAAATATTTTCTTGCAGTTCTTTTTGTCCCAAGAAGAGATTCAGAAGATGTGTATAGTCAAACTGTTGTCTTCAAATAACCTTTCTCTATACAGTTATGTACCTCTTTGTACCACTAGTTTCTGTTTGGAAGTTAGGCAATCATATTCTATGATATGGGAAATAATTTAATTTATTAAATGATAAATGAAAATTAGGACCAAATCTTATCAAAACACTGAGTCAGAGCTGATTGTATTTTTGGAGACCTTGTCAGAAGTATAAACTATGTCTCTGAGCAAAGAACCATGTACACGTATCCCATTATATCACTTAATGTCAGTGAGTTTGTAATAGTACCTTCCTGACTGATGAATGCGTAGATCTTATTCAAGTTTACTAATATATGATCAGGTTAAAATTTGTATCTATTTAGTTCTTTTTATTAAGTCAGGAAATGCTTGGAAATGTGTATACATTTTAGTCTTTTAATTTACTTAACACAGTAGTTTAAAAATGTGTTTTGTCACATGTGGCAACTCTGATCCACTGGTAGTGGTTGGTTTGGAATCTTGTGCTGAGAAAGAGTCTGAAGCTTAATCTCATTTTCCCTGAAATAGCCCACAATTGAGATGCTAACTTCATGAAGGCAAGGAATTTTGTGTGCTTAGCTGAGTGCTGCAGTTTCAAGTTACTGTGACACTGCCTAGAACAGTAGTTGGTACATACAAATCACTTACTCATTTTTAGCAATGAATGAACAGTAAATAGCGTTGTCTCCCATGAGTGTGCTTTAGGACTATAACATTGTGGATTATTTTAGATTCTTCTTCTTATTATTACTATTATTGTTATTTCATCATGCATTTATATGTTTATTTATCCATTCATTCAGAAATGTAGCTTTGAGACCTTAAATTTGGACATATTCATCACATGCTAGTTATTATGTTAAGTTCAGAAATTCAGTGGAAATAAACCCTTCATTAAGCCTAGAATTTTGGGTTCCATATGTCTCTGTGTTTCATACTGCATGATTAGATTGTATTGCAAAAAATTTGGGTAAATTTTAGTGCACTGAAATATACCAAGATGGCTGAGTGTTAAATTTTGATTAGTGTATTTATAAAGGCAGTAACTCTTCATTTTTTATTAATTCTTGATTTTTACATGTGCATTTATTTCAAGTGCTATAGTATATATATGATACACTAATTCTAGTATATTGGAAGGATGAGTGAATCTTTCAAAATACCCAAGTTTTAAGTAGCGAGGTGAAAGACTGATAGTCAATATAAGCCCCAAGAAACTGTTAAAAGAATTTTCTAAATATATAGTAACATAGAGTAGTGCATCAAAGTAGGTATGAGACAAATGGATTCATTACTAATACCCTAAGTACTCCCTGAATGTTACCTTCTGAAGACAAATAACATAGCACATAATATTCATCAAAATAAAAGTCTTTGACAGGGAATCCTCTATGGCTGGGAGATAAAGGTCTTCTGGTGTCTCAATTTACAACTAGTTTTAAAAAGTGGATCTAAATTTCCTTGTTACAATTCAACTGTTAACATCACATTCAAAACCTACTACAATTATCTTTTAAAATTTGTTTGATTTGTTTTAATGCAGGAAAAATCACAAACCTCTTTGAAAAGGGCGCCATTGACCCTTCCTCTGTAATGGTCCTGGTGAATGCCATATATTTCAAAGGACAGTGGCAAAATAAATTTCAGGAAAGTGAGACAGTTAAATCTCCTTTTCAGCTAAGTGAAGTAAGTATTTTATTTTCACACTGATGACACATTTTGGACAGTGCAATAATCATTTAAGAATAAGTTAGAAGTATTTGGTGAAAATATTGTTCTAAGTTGCCCTCAATTCCTTTAACTGCGTTTCCTATGAATTTTTGTTTTTCTCTTCTTAAGTGACAGCAAGTAATCTTTCTTTCAGGACACACAGCCAGAGCCTTTGTATACTAAGATTCCCTGACAGAAAAGAAATTTGTTATTTTCTTAATATTCTATCTATGCTTTTTTCCATGCATACTGTGCTGAATTTTCTAGCAGGACAGGAAAATTGTGTTGCTTTTCTTCTGGTATGTCTAATTGGATGAACTGATGTTGTGATTTTATTTTCCTACATAAATCATTGTAAATATGAACTCTGGCTTTATTTTTGGTGGACTCAGTATACATATATATTTTTATAATTACCCAACCTTTAATTTTGACTTATTTTTGAATGAAAAAATTAGCAACATGTATAAGGGAAAGTAATAAAAGAATATATTTTATAATGTACATTTGTCACGTGCCTTTAGTGTTAATACAGATATTTATATATATTTAAATATATTTATATATATATCTACTATACAAAAAATCAATATATTGTACATACATATTCACTCATACATGTGACTGTGCTATGTAATTATAATCTTTTTCTTTTAATAGGGTGAAAGTGTACCTGTGGAAATGATGTACCAAACTGGAACATTTAAATTGGCCTTCATAAAGAATCCACGGATGCAAGTTCTTGAGATGCCTTACGTTAACAACAAGCTGAGTATGATTATCCTGCTGCCAGTAGAGCCAGCTAATCTAGCAGAGGTAATAGTACAAGAGTGCCAGCATGCAGCTAACACACGTGTGCACATTCACACACTCACTCTTACACACACTTTCTGTGTCCTCTGATGTCTGTGCATCAGCCACTGATTTATGATCTAGGAGCTGTGAGAAGGGTCCTTGCCCTTGAGGACCATCTGTTTAGGTAGGGTAACTCATTCTCACATTGTACAAATACATATCAGTCCTTAGGCATTGGAGAGACTTCGTTTTATAGTAAGGAAGTTATAATTCTGTTTGAGCTCCTAGTCCACACAAACCCAATTACGAAAATCAGTGATAGTGTTCTGACCGAATTGCAACACACTTTCATGGGCTGATCATTTTTAACATCACAGTTTGATGAAGGAAATGAGCCCCACAACCATGAAGAAGAGGTCATAGTGGTGTTAGGAAGTGAGTCCAACTCGTTTTTCCTGGTTACATCCAAAGTTGGTTTTCACAGAGAGACATTGGCATGACCATATCATCTCCCAACATAGCCAGGACTACTCAATGTCCTGTAGAAGGACAAACAGTTTCTTAGGAAAACAATTGATTCCTTGGGAACCTGCAAAAACTGACCTTAAACAGATAAGATGGCCACAGTGTTTTATTTCTAAACTGGTCAGTTTCTAAGTCAGCAGAAACGGGCTTAAAAGGTAAAGGCAATGTGGCTCATTTGGGTGGGGAACACAGGCAGGGCTTCCTAAGAGAGTTGGGCTGGGATGTATGCATTTCATTCAAGAAGTAAGATGTGTGCACATCAGAAAGAAAGAACTGTAGTGATAGAAATACGATCATTCCCACAGGAACAAGTATGCTAATATGTGTGGCCAATTCAAGGGGATTTGGCTCTGGGGACTTGTGATCATCTAGGGTAGAAGATATTTGGGAAGATAGAATAGAAACAGTGTGGGAGCAGTTTAAATTCTGCAGAAGGCCCTATGGAAGTAGAGATGGTATAAATTAGAGTGAGGGAAGCTACAATGATCGGGACATGAATGCTATTGGGTGAGTGAAAATGAAGACCCTGCTGCTCTAGGCAGACCAAAGCGTGCACATGAAAGTCTTAGAAATGTGAGCCAGGATGATGGGTTCATGTCAGGATGTCATGGTAACTTGGATTGGGGGAGAAAAAGACAAAAAAGGAAGAAATTCTTTTTTATGTGATACAGGATTTTATATGGCTAGGCAGGAAGGTGCTAAAAATATTTTTAACTCTTGGGCTAGAATTATGGGATTGGCACAGCATGATGGTGGGAAGGGCTGGGGTGGAGAAAAATGATGAAAATGGATACAGAATGAGAAGTCAGGGTTGCTGAGGCTGCTTTGCAAACCTGAGCATTGTTGGGGGCATTGAAACGCTAGGTAGAGGTGCACAGGGCATCACAGAGGCACCATGAGTTCAGCTTCAGGGGCAGCAACCCAGAGAGAATGAAAAAAGCAGAAAAGGTTAAAAGCTATCAGAATGGAGCAAGGGGATCTCAGATCTCAGAAGTAAAAGTTCATCAAGAAGGGTTTATTGTATATTTCAGATATAAGCTCCAAGGAGAAATGTTTGAATTTATCCAGGAAGCAGGGAAAATAGAGAAATTCAGTGTAAAAACTGAGAGAATCAACAATGTACACAGAAGTTTAATGATAAAATATAGATAAGAAGCAGCCAACAGAGAAGGGAAGATGTGTTGTTGTGTTTTTCCTTAGAGAGGAATGAGCATCCATTAAAGATAGAAAAGAAAGTCATGAAATAACCATTCCCAGGGCTGGGGATTTAGCTCAGCAGCACAGCACCTGTCTGGCAAGTGCAAGGTCATGAGTTTGATTCCCGGTACTGGAAAAACAAAAACAAAAACAAAACAAAAAACAAAAAACAACAAAAAAAAAACCCCAACCATTCCCACTGAGAATTATAAAGTAAATGCCTTAACGAAGAAGCCATGTGTTTGACGCTGGGACTTGTCTGTGTTTCCCCTCTCAGATAGAAAAGCAGCTGAACATGAGGAGGTTTCAGGAGTGGACCAGCCCTTCCACCATGATGGAAAGAGAAGTGGAAGTGCATGTCCCGCGATTCAAACTGGAAATCAAATATGAGTTAAATTCCCTGCTAAAGTCCCTAGGGCTGACAAATATCTTCAGCCCATCCAAAGCTGACTTCTCTGGAATGTCACCAGACAAGGGCCTCTATTTATCAAAAGTTATCCATAAGTCCTATGTGGATGTCAACGAAGAGGGCACTGAGGCAGCTGCAGCTACTGGGGACAACATTGCTGTAAAAAGACTCCCCATTCGACATCAGTTCAAAGCAGATCATCCTTTCCTGTTCTTTATCAGAGACAGTTCTACTCATATGCTTCTCTTTGCTGGCAAGCTCGCCTCTCCATAAACAGAGAGCGGTGAGAGTCACTGGGGAGGTTGGTGTAGGGGCAGACAGGTGACCGTAGATTACAGTGCACATACCTCTGTGCCTCAGTTTGCTCATTTGCAAAATAGGTTTAGGATCACTTCCACTTATTGCATGAGTTGATGAAAGTTGTCTGACTTTCTTATCTTTGGGTCCTTGTGTGAGTGCTTTCTGAGTAATATGACTGAGTTAATGAAAAATGTTTCAAAGTGTTAAATTCTCTTGAACTGTACATGTTAGAAAGATTGTGAATAATTGGCTTCATTGTCTTTAAAAAGCAGCTTAAGGATTTCTACTTTGGTTGGATTTTTAAATATTATAATTTTCTTTGTGTGCTTATATATACATATAAAACATTGTCAATTTTAGTTCAAAATACTTTATTGACTATAATAAATGGATAAAATGTCTTAACCTTTTTGAACACTACATAATACACCAGAAACTAAATAATTTATGTGGGAAGATTTTGAATAAGGACAGTTCAAATCAGTGAGCATATTACTGGAATTTTGGGCCAGATCTTTATTAGGTAAGTTTAAATTTAATGCTACACTTCTTTCTGTTTTAAAAATTCAGTTATTAAGTGTTCAGAAGCACCTACACACAAAGAAAACATTGGGATGGGAGGGGGCTTTCCTTGGTCACCTTCTTCTCACTAGGACACAACATCTGACTCCTGCAACTTAAAGGAGGGGAGTTGTGTTTTGTCTCACAGTTGTATAGGTTTAAAGTCCATAGTTGGCTGGCTCCAAGGACACAATGGCAGAAGGGCATAGCAAGGGAGAAACTTCTTCAGGAGTGGCAGACAGGAAGCAAAGAGCATCAGTGGAGAAGCTGGGGAGGAAGATAAGCCCTGCTGGGCACGCACTCCCGTGATCTATCACTTCTGACCAGACCCTGCTTCCTAGCAATAAGTCAGCTATGAAGCTGCCACCACCTAATCACCTTCCAAAAGCTCAGCCTAAGAGTATTTGAGGCCTTTGGGGGACATCAAGACATAAACCATAACGGGGTAGGAGGCTTTCCAAGGGGCTAGAGTCCTCATCTTGCACCTCTTTCTAGTGTAGAGGCAGGAATTGCACGGGCACTACTAGTAACCAGTAAGGTATATTCTGGAGAATCACGAACTAATATAGAGCCATACAAGCTCTTGCTAATGTGTATATCTCTATATATTTATGCCTATATATCTCCATATATATCCCTGTATCTATACAGTATTTCCACTTATATAAATGGAAGCATATATATCTGCCCATCTGTATCTCCACATATATCTTTATATATCTCCATCTGTATCTTTATAGTTATACAAATTTAATGTATATATCTGCCCTCATATTTGTATTTCCATATATATCCATGTGTATATCTGTCCCTATATATCTTCATATACACATATGAACATGTACATCTGCTTACATTTACATCTGTACATCCATATGTCCATGTGTGTCTGTGATATATACATGTCCATATATATTTTTTAATATGGTATGCGGAGAAAGACAGAGAGAGGGAGACAGATTGAAAGGAGATGGCTCTTGCAGTGTTGCAGTAGGATCTGAAAAGCTTTCAGGAAGCAGAATTCTCTCTTTCTCAGGGAACCCTCATGAGTTTTCCCCTGAGGCATTCAACTGGATACATGAAGTCCACTCATACAGTGGAGTATAATCTGCTTTACTCAAAGTGTACTGACTTGATTGTTAAACTTGTTTAAAATATAGGTTCACAGCAGTGTCCAGTCTGGTGTGTAAGCAAACACCTAGGTACTATGTATAGCCTAGGAAAGCCAGCTCAAAAAATCGATCTTCACTGTCACAAGCACTGTAGGCAGTGAGGTGAATACAAGCTATTTTCACCCTCTCAGAGCTAACAAAATGTGTGCTTTTAGCAGTGCAAGTGATACAATGCACTGTCTGGGTTCATGGAATTTAATCACACAAGAAGCTTTGTTTTTGTCTCCCATTATCCCTATAAAATTGCTTACTGCTGGGAGATCCTTCCTTAGTATCTGGCTGTTCATAGGTCCCACTTACACATAGGTCCCACTTACACTGTAGCAAGTCTATGATTGCTTCATGTTACAGACTCTAGCCAGTGGTTAAAAATATTTAGGCCCAAATGTAAGTTCAAACTCTCACTGTTTTAGGAATGGTGTGGATTCAACATTGTTAACCTCCCCTGGGATCTCCTTAGAAATACTGCCCTTGGTTCCACCTCAATCCTGCAGCTTAACGCAAGACACCCAGGTGAACTATGTGTTCATTACAGTTGGAGAAGACCTGTAAACCTGATTTATTAGAAAGCCTCTTCCCTCCTCTTAGTTTGAGTAACCTGGGGTCTGGGAGAGGTTAATCTTTCTTCCTTCCTGCTGCTGGTCCTCACCCACTTTCTATTTCTGCACTTCTTTTCTCCCTCCCTTCTCCTCCCCTCCCCTTCCTTCCCTTCCTCTCCTATTCTCTTTCCTCTACCTTCTTGGCCTTCCTCCTCCTCCTTTTTCTCCTTCTCTCTGTCTCTCTGTCTCTGTCTCTGTCTCTGTCTCTGTCTCTGTCTGTCTCTCTCTCTGCTGGAGTTTGAGCCCAGAGCCTCTGCATATCAAGCACTTGCTCTACCCCAGAATTACCTCTGTTTTAGAGAAGGGGCAGGAGTCACTAAGAGGAAAGTACAGTTCTGCTGTTTTACAAGCCGTCACACTCTGAGCAACCACTTTTCTTGCGGACACTGGTATGTTCTCTAGATCAAGGGCCATCTGTTCCATCATGTAGGCAGTGCCCTGTTTGCTGGTTAACAGCTGGCTCAAGAAATATGTCCCACAGCCCTAATAATTTAGTTCCTTTGCTTTTTTTTGGCAAAATTCCTCTCTCCTGTTTAAGGTTTATTGAACTTCTTGGAGTTGTTAATACTCTCCATCAGATTTATGCAATGTACAATCATTCTTTCTTCAAACATTCATTGTTTTCTTCAAACATGTTACTGGCAACAGAACCTGATCCAATAGAAGCTTAGTTGGGGGTATTGGTTTGGGTGAACTAGAATAGTTCTTACCAGAGGGTAATGGTCAGCACCTGCAGCCTGAGAATCAAGTCGAGTCCCTGGGGCACCTCTGGGGAGGGACCGTGCTGCAAGCCATTGACACCAAGCCAGTATCCCATCTGCTCAGATTCTATCCTCACAGTACTTGCTTCCTTCCTGCACTGCAGGATGGAGTTTCTCTGTTCCTGAGTCAGTGACTCTTCTGAGATAGTTATACTCTCTGGGAAGATAAGTCACCAGAATCTGAGGGTTGCTGGGCTGAAAATGAGGCTAACCTACATGGTGACAGATATCGCCCCCACCGCCTGCCTGCCCCCACCCCCTTAGGAATGTCGTTCATCATCCAAGAATGTCTCCAGCTAGTGATTATGGGGCATAAAACACATTTCCCAGGATGAACTCCCCAAAGCAAATAGGAGGAACAAGGTAAGGGTTCATATAAGTAACATTTGGCTATGGCCTGAACAGCTTACACTATTAATTGTGTATCTCTTCATTATAAAGTTTGTGGACCTCTGCTTTAGGGTCAAAACAGTCCAACTCCTCAGGTATGGTCTTCCTGAGGTCTTTATTGAGTATTTCTATTGAATTTCTGTTCCTGGAGCTTTCTGCTGTAGTAGGTAGGATTGCAGTATGTCTTTGTTTGTTATAACCCTTGGAATCTCTTTTTACCTAACAGTTTCCCAGTGGTTATTCTCTATGAAGTCCACTTTGGTGGATCTCTCTCTGAATGTGCAACATAAGAGTTAGCTAAAGACTCAAGAAAACTCACCACTCCCATATAGCCTCCCAAGTTCTTTCTCTGAGCAGATTCTTTAGTGCATGGCCCCCAAGTTTCAACTCAGAGCCCTGAACTCTGCCTTGCCATTCTCTACCCAGGCCTCAGATCTCTACAGAGGTCTCTTTTCTAGAGATCGATCCAGAGGGCAATGGAGCTGCCTGGTTCCTTCTTCTAAAGATTATGACCTTGTGTTATCTGTGGCCCACAAGATGAAACCATGCCTGCTATACTCTGTCCAGTTTGATCACTTTTTTGTGTGTGAGAGACAGAGTCTTGGTATGTTCAGGCTGGCCTTAAATTCATTATCTAGCCCAGGCTGGCCTTGAACTAACAGCTATCTTCTTGCTCTAGATTCCCAGCTGCTAAGCTGACAGTTGTGTGCCACCACTTCCAGCTTCAGTTTGTTTACCATTGGAAGTAGATTTGATAGTTGATACTCCTTGAAGGGTGAAATTGGAGGTCCAGAATTCCTGTGCAGTGACCAAGGCCACCACTTCTGCCAGGGTCTGCATCTGCTCCGGGGAACCTTGCCTTTCTGATAGCTTTAGAAGTGAGTGATTTCCACATACTACAGGCATCTGCTCCACTTTAGTTTTCTTAGCCCACTGACTCCTAATAGTAGAGAACACATAGGAGGTCCTCTTAGCAGTCCTGCAGAAGTAGCTCTAAAGACTTGGGGAGAGGCCTCATTTATGAAGGAGAACAAGTGTACCATGCACATACTTCTTTCAAAAGAAGTCCCCTTCAAAAATCCCCTTCTTACTCTCCATTTTTGAACTTTTTTTATGAGCAACTCAAATAGCAACATTCAAATCTGCTAGCTATTTGGAGAGGGGGGATTGCCTAATTTTGGTCTAATTCCTCCTCTGAAGTGAATGCCTACTATACCTTAGTGACTCACCTGAATTTAATCTGGCATCCATTATGCTTGGCCTCAGGTTGCATACGTGTTTCTGTTTTGTGCTTTTGTAACAGTAGTATCAAAACAGTAACAACTGTGTCTCATGTTGGTAAACTCTCTGACTGGAAGTTAGAGAAGTCCAGACAAAATAAATCTGTGAAATCAAAGTAGTTATTTTCGGATTAAAATCTTTCAAAACAGAAGAAAAGTGGTGGAAGTGGGAAAAATTAGGAAATCCTTCTTGTGTATAGATGTCACTGTGGCCTGAGGTCATGTCAAAAGGAAGTGGAGTGCTGAGAAAAATGGAGAATCCTATGTGCTCTCACTTATAGTATCAAGTTAAGAGGAACTTGGGAATGATGTGGAATAGTGGCACAATATTTAAAAAGAAGAAAAAATCTGACGACTCTCTGATTTCAATACTTACTATAAAGCTACATAATCAAAATATGATACTGTTAAAACAATGGATTGATAAATGGATCAGAACAGGGAGCTCCTAAACAGACTCACAACCAATTGATCTTTCACAAAGGAGCAAGTGCAATTCAAAGGGAAAGAAACCCTTATTTCAACAAATGGTGCTAGAGGGGCTGGGGATTTAGCTCAGCGGCACAGAGCCTGCCTGGCAAGTGCAAGGTCATGAGTTAGATTCCTGGTACCGGAAAAAACAAAAACAAACAAACAAACAAA